AGTCTTTGAACACAACCTTTGAAGACTGAAGTGTTGCAGCTGAAATATGGACTTTACAGGATCAGAGGATGGACTTTATGAATGAAATCACTGCATGAGAAGCTTGCACGGTCTAAAGATTTAAAGAAGACAAGAAGTCGATGGAAAAACAAGACATTTCTTTAGTCTGTGAAGGACGTCATTTATTTCATTGGCAAACAAGAAATGAGAAAACATGTAGAGCAGGGGTCTCCAACCTTTGGCTCGGGAGCTCCCAGTAGCTCACCAGCCCCTTTCCGGTAACTCCCGGAAGGATTTAGAACTAACTCATGAACTTGAACGAACACATTTTAAGTCATTACAAAACATAGGGTTATACAATATTACAGTTTATTATATGACTTGGATCGTGCGCTCTGATTGGCCGATTTGCGGTCTGATATTTTCCCATCTCGGACCGTTACCATGACGATTGGTCCGCAGAGTGTATCAGATTTGATATCTTTCCTCGGTAAAACAGAATTAATGAGTGACTGGGAGCGTTCTCAGTGAATTCTATCATCAGGACAAGTTGGAAGAGCCAGAGGAAGTAATAACAGCAAATAACGACCAAAACACAACTCCAACAGTCAAGAAGAGATCGACAACTTGGTTACAGACCAGAAAGGTAAAACCAGGACCAGGAAAACCAAGTGGGACATGAACATGACAGATATGTAAAAAGCATTGGTAAAGACACAGACTGAGAACTTACAGCGGGCGCCTCAATCCTCTGTTCTTCATGTCACAGTTTGACATATTTGATATTTCTCTGAACAGACCTCGCGCTCGTTTAATAAGCCGTTATTATTTTATTTGTGTTCTCTGTGTGTTCTCTTTTGTCTCTCCGACCGAAAAAGGTTGGAGACCCCCGGTGTAGAAGATGTCCCATGTAATCTTTCACCCAGAACAAATTAAACTAGACAAAAACTGAAATGAACAAATCCGAGAGTGTTGAAGTCACTTGTTTATTTTAGAGCAGTAAAAGTACGATGTGTTATTATTGTTGTTATAAAAACTGTTTGCCACATGTGGTTTTGTTGTTTCTGTCGTTCGAGAAGCAGATGGTGACATTTATGTGAAAAAACAACTGATTTCTGCACATCTGGACAATATCAACATTTACCATCAGTGCAAGCTATAAATGTGTAGCGCCACCTGCAGGAGAAGGCCAGAGCCGTCAGAATATCTCTGACGGATATATATACATGTAAACCATATATCTCTGGTCTCTCTCTTCCTCAATTCTCTCTCTCTGATCTCCCTCACCCTCTATCCTCTCTCTCTCCCGGAATCTCTCTCTCTGGTCTCTCTCGCCTTTCATCCTCTCTCTCTGGTCTCTCTATAAATCAATCCTCCCTCTCCCCAAAATCTCTCTCTCTGGTCTCTCTCTCTCCCAGAACCCGGAATCTCTCTCTCTGGTCTCTCTCTCTCCCAGAACCCGGAATCTCTCTCTCTGGTCTCTCTCTCTCCCAGAACTCAGAATCTCTCTCTCTGGTCTCTCTCTCTCCCAGAACCCAGAATCTCTCTCTCTGGTCTCTCTCTCTCCCAGAACCCGGAATCTCTCTCTCTGGTCTCTCTCTCTCCCAGAACCCAGAATCTCTCTCTCTCCCAGAACCCAGAATCTCTCTCTCTCTCACTGGTCTCTCTCTCTCCCAGAACCCAGAATCTCTCTCTCTCTCTCTGCTCTCTCTCTCGCCCATAACCCAGAATCTCTCTCTCTGCTCTCTCTCTCTCCCGGAACCCGGAATCTCTCTCTCTGGTCTCTCTCTCTCCCAGAACTCAGAATCTCTCTCTCTCTGGTCTCTCTCTCACCCAGAACCCAGAATCTCTCTCTCTCTCACTGGTCTCTCTCTCTCCCAGAACCCAGAATCTCTCTCTCTCTCTCTGGTCTCTCTCTCTCTCCCAGAACCCAGAATCTTTCTCTCTGGTCTCTCTCTCTCCCAGAACCCAGAATTTCTCTCTCGCTCTCTGGTCTCTCTCTCTCTCCCAGAACCCAGAATCTCTCTCTCTGGTCTCTTTCTCTCCCAGAACCCAGAATCTTTCTCTCTCTCTCTCCCAGAACCCAGAATCTCTCTCTCTGGTCTCTCTCTCTGTACATTCGATTTCAGTAAATTGTAATCATATATCTCGGGTCCATCTCTCTTATGGTCTCCCCCTGGTCTCTAACTACAATCTTTACAATGGCTTGTTATTGGTATACATTTCAAAGGATTTGCTCAGAACGTGTGAAAATCTCGGTATCTGGTAATTTGTAGTCTCAAAAGTCTTTCTAACGACACTTGTCCGTCCGTGCAAACAACCTGCGTGTTTGTTTTTACAGAAATAAGTGAAATCTTTCAGAATGTTGCCTTCGTACTCATGTGCACAGTCCCACTATGAACGTGGTCACATCGAAGGCCCCACAGGCTCCGACCACAGACCAAGCTAGCAATCAGAGGTGTTTTTCCTTCGAGATTCAGAAACTAAAATGGGTGAAAAAAGTGGAGAATATGGATATCTCAAACATGCAAGACATTTCTGGACATTGGTCTCGGCTCCTTTTGGACCAATGGCTCTGTGTGATTTTATCATTGCATTTCCTGTGATTGAACGGTTTGATTTTCTAATCTGTTCTTGGTGAAGCGACAGTGTGCACATGGTCTGTGCACATGGTCTGTGCACATGGTCTGTTCAAGTCTCTCCCTCAGACAGAACCTCATAAGAACAGCCTCTTCCCCTCTGCAGTTGGACTCCTGAGCTCTCTGGTCTCTCTTACTATGGTCTGTCTGGTTTCTCTCTCTAGTTTTTCTCTTTGGTCTCTCTCACTCTCTCCTCTCTCTCTGATCTCTCTCTCTGGTCTCACTCTCTATGGTCCCTCTCTTGCTGGTCTCTCTCTGGTCTCTCTCACTCTCTCTGGTTTCTTTCTCTCTAGCTGGTCTTTCTTTATCTCTCTGGTCTCCCGCTCTGGCCTCTCTCTTTCTGGTCTCTCTCACTCTCTGGCCTCTCTCTTTCTGGTCTCACTCTCTCTAGTCTCTTTCTCTGATCTCTCTCTCTGGTCTCACTCACTCTCTGGCCTCTCTCTTTCTGGTCTCACTCTCTCTAGTCTCTTTCTCTGATCTCTCTCTCTGGTCTCTCTCACTCTCTGGCCTCTCTCTTTCTGGTCTCTCAAACTCTCTCGTCTCTTTCTCTGGTCTCTCTCGCTGATCTCTCTCACTCTCTGGCCTCTCTCTTTCTGGTATCTCTCTCTCTGATCTCTCTCTCTGGTCTCTCTGGTCTCTCTCTCTCTGGTCTCTTTCTCTGATCTCTCTCACTCTCTGGCCTCTCTCTTTCTGGTCTCTCTCTCTAGTCTCTTTCTCTGATCTCTCTCTCTGGCCTCTCTCTTTCTGGTCTCTCTGGTCTCTCTCACTCTCTGGCCTCTCTCTCTCTGGTCTCTCTCTTTCTGGTCTCTCTCTCTGGTCTCTCTCTCTCTGGTCTCTCTCTCTCTGGTCTCTCTCTCTCTGGTCTCTCTCTTTCTGGTCTCTCTCACTCTCTGGCCCCTCTCTCTCTGGTCTCTCTCTCTCTGGTCTCTCTCTTTCTGGTCGCTCTCTTTCTGGTCTCTCTCTCTCTGGTCTCTCTGGTCTCTCTCTCTGGTCTCTCTCTCTCTGGTCTCTCTCTTTCTGGTCGCTCTCTTTCTGGTCTCTCTCTCTCTGGTCTCTCTCTGGTCTCTCTCTCTGGTCTCTCTCTGGTCTCTCTCTGGTCTCTCTCTGGTCTCTCTCTCTGGTCTCTCTCTGGTCTCTCTCTGGTCTCTCTCTGGTCTCTCTCTCTGGTCTCTCTCTCTCTGGTCTCTCTCTGGTCTCTCTCTCTGGTCTCTCTCTGGTCTCTCTCTCTGGTCTCTCTCTCTCTGGCCTCCTCTCTCTCTGGTCTCTCTCTGGTCTCTCTCTCTCTGGTCTCTCTCTCTCTGGTCTCTCTCTCTGGTCTCTCTCTCTGGTCTCTCTCTCTCTGGTCTCTCTCTCTGGTCTCTCTCTCTCTGGTCTCTCTCTCTGGTCTCTCTCTCTCTGGTCTCTCTCTCTGGTCTCTCTCTCTGGTCTCTCTCTCTGGTCTCTCTCTCTCTGGTCTCTCTCTGGTCTCTCTCTCTGGTCTCTCTCTCTGGTCTCTCTCTCTGGTCTCTCTCTCTGGTCTCTCTCTCTCTGGTCTCTCTCTCTGGTCTCTCTCTCTGGGCTCTCTCTGGTCTCTCTCTCTGGTCTCTCTCTCTCTGGTCTCTCTCTCTGGTCTCTCTCTCTGGTCTCTCTCTCTGGTCTCTCTCTCTGGTCTCTCTCTCTCTCGTCTCTCTCTCTCTGGTCTCTCTCTCTGGTCTCTCTCTCTGGTCTCTCTCTCTCTGGTCTCTCTCTCTCTGGTCTCTCTCTCTGGTCTCTCCTCTCTCTGGTCTCTCTCTCTGTGGTCTCTCTCTCTGGTCTCTCTCTCTGGTCTCTCTCTGGTCTCTCTCTGGTCTCTCTCTCTGGTCTCTCTCTCTCTGGTCTCTCTCTCTGGTCTCTCTCTGGTCTCTCTCTCTGGTCTCTCTCTCTCTGGTCTCTCTCTCTCTGGTCTCTCTCTCTCTGGTCTCTCTCTCTGGTCTCTCTCTCTGGTCTCTCTCTCTCTGGTCTCTCTCTCTGTGGTCTCTCTCTCTGGTCTCTCTCTCTGGTCTCTCTCTCTCTGGTCTCTCTCTCTGGTCTCTCTCTCTGGTCTCTCTCTCTCTGGTCTCTCTCTCTGTGGTCTCTCTCTCTGGTCTCTCTCTCTGGTCTCTCTCTCTCTGGTCTCTCTCTCTGGTCTCTCTCTCTGGTCTCTCTCTCTTGTGTGAATGTCACAGAAAACGTTTATGTTTTGTCCCCTTTAATAAATTAATACTAAATCTTTAAAACATCTCCATGTTTTAGTGTCTGTCGGCAGTCGTTCAGGACCAAACAGCCGGTGGTCCCGGTGGCCCTGCATGGGCTTCAGAGGAGGTGGGGGGTGGTCCTCCGGTGGGTCCCAGGGGCCTCGTCCGCTCACGTGGGCACTAAGGGCGGAGGCAGATCACACGGTAAAGTTAGAGATTTTAGACTTGCTTCTTTATTATGCTAAAGCTAGATTTTATACTAGCTTCTTTATTATGCTAAAGCTAGAGATTTTATACTAGCTTCTTTATTATGCTAAAGCTAGAGATGTTATACTAGCTTCTTTATTATGCTAAAGCTAGAGATTTTATACTAGCTTCTTTATTATGCTAAAGCTAGAGATTTTATAATAGCTTCTTTATTATGCTAAAGCTAGAGATTTTAGACTCGGTCAAAGCAGAAGAATCCTGAGCAGAAGCTGTTAGCGTTAGTGAGTTAGCTTTATGTTAGTCCTGTCCGCAGCACCAGGATTAGCATTTAGCAGCAATGACCTTTGTAGCTGATGCTAACCAGGAAGCTCCAGGGTCTGGACTGGAGGGTTTGGACTCACCATTGAGGGAAAATTCTACATCTTAATAAAAGGTCATTTGTAATAAGGTTTTCACACCCAGGGAGAAAAACGTTTGGAGGACACCCTTGTTCACTCATTGTTAGTGATTTTGTGAAGTTATTTAATGACAAAAAAACATGTTTTCTATAGTTTTCTCTTCTTTGATGATGAACGTTTGAACCTGAAGCTGATCAGATAATTCTGCACATGGTCTGTTCTAGTCACTCCCTCATAACATCAGCTTCTTCCCCTCTGCAGCTGGACTCCTGGTCTCTCTCTCTGGTCTCTCTCTGGTCTCTCTGGTCTCTCTCTCTGGTCTCTCTCTCTGGTCTCTCTGGTCTCTCTCTGGTCTCTCTCTCTGGTCTCTCTCTCTGGTCTCTCTCTCTGGTCTCTCTCTCTGGTCTCCCTCTGGTCTCTCTCTGGTCTCTCTCTCTGGTCTCTCTCTGGTCTCTCTCTGGTCTCCCTCTGGTCTCTCTCTCTGGTCTCTCTCTGGTCTCTCTCTGGTCTCTCTCTCTGGTCTCTCTCTGGTCTCTCTCTCTGGTCTCTCTCTGGTCTCTCTCTCTCTGGTCTCTCTCTCTGGTCTCTCTCTCTGGTCTCTCTCTGGTCTCTCTCTCTGGTCTCTCTCTGGTCTCTCTCTCTGGTCTCTCTCTGGTCTCTCTCTGGTCTCTCTCTGGTCTCTCTCTCTGGTCTCTCTCTCTGGTCTCTCTCTCTGGTCTCTCTCTGGTCTCTCTCTGGTCTCTCTCTCTGGTCTCTCTCTCCGGTCTCTCTCTCTGGTCTCTCTCTCCGGTCTCTCTCTCTGGTTTCTCTCTGGTCTCTCTCTCTGGTCTCTCTCTGGTCTCTCTCTCTGGTCTCTCTCTGGTCTCTCTCTCTGGTCTCTCTCTCCGGTCTCTCTCTCTGGTCTCTCTCTGGTCTCTCTCTCTGGTCTCTCTCTGGTCTCTCTCTCCGGTCTCTCTCTCTGGTCTCTCTCTCCGGTCTCTCTCTCTGGTCTCTCTCTGGTCTCTCTCTCTGGTCTCTCTCTGGTCTCTCTCTGGTCTCTCTCTGGTCTCTCTCTCTGGTCTCTCTCTGGTCTCTCTCTCTGGTCTCTCTCTGGTCTCTCTCTCTGGTCTCTCTCTCCGGTCTCTCTCTCTGGTCTCTCTCCGGTCTCTCTCTCTGGTCTCTCTCTGGTCTCTCTCTCTGGTCTCTCTCCGGTCTCTCTCTCTGGTTTACTCTGATGTTAAAGCTGCCCACTCTTGTTGGCAGAAAGCCTCTAGTTTATGTAAATTCCCGGACCGCCTTGCAGTAACTGCACGGTTGCCATCTGATTGCAGAGCTGCTCATTGATGTCTTCATTTGCAAATAGAAAACATGTTTATTTGACAATAAACTAAAACCAAGAGTCATTTATCCAAAACAATTACATTTCTGCAGTGTGTGTGCGAAAGTGTGCTTTTAATTGTGCAATATAAATAAATGTGTTTCTCCTAACTTAAGTGCCCTTCCCCCCTCTTTTGCCTTGCGTCCTGGAGGCCTACCCAGGGACGTGCTGTTGTACCGCGTCCACTGGAGGGTGCTGTATCCAGGCTTGTCTGTGAGGACGGAGCGCTGAGCTGGGGCGCCCCCTGCAGGCCCCCCGCTCCTCTGCAGGGACGCACACCTGCCGTAGCCCGACATCACGTTAGAGGAGCTGTGGGCGCCGCTGAGCCTCGGATCGGTCGCGTGGAGCGTCCCGTTGGAGTAGGACAGTTTGGACAAGTCTGTGGAAGCCGGTTTACCGTTCAAACGGCTTTGGAGCGGAGATCTGGGACTGTCTTTCTTTATAAACCCGGGTTTGAAGAAGGACAGAAGGCTTTCGTGGCTGTTTCTGTCATGTACGCTGAACCCGCTCCTGTCCTCGGGATCAAGAACCATGTGCAACAGGTCTTTCTGAATCCTGGTCGACCCGCCATTTTGAATCCTGTTCCGTCGCAGGGTAGAATCTCGACTTGCCGGGGCACTCTGGCTAAAGGCGACCTCCTGCATAACCCCCTTTGGAAGCCCGTAGTCTAAAGTCCTTTTGGAAGATCTCGACAAGTTCTCAACATAAACCCTCCTCTGTCCTTCTGCGATCTTTGGCGAGTCCAATCCAGCGCTAGCAATGCCACCGCTAGGGGAATCCAGCCCCGAGTGTAGCATCCTCCCGCGGGCTGTTCGCAGAGGAGGGGTAGCCACGAGCGACACGATGGGTTCTTTGGTGCATCGCGGCCTCCGTCCAGATTCGAGGTATTCTACGAGCTCTCCGGGTCGGGGAGGCGGCGGCGGGGTCTTGGGCTGAGACTCCTTGGACGTCAAAGACCAGCGGAGGGGGAGGACCCGGCTCAGTGGGTCCTTGGACTTACTGGGAGAGCGGATACTGACGCTGCGGCCTTGAGTCCCGCGAACGAACGGTTTGGTGTCAAAGCCATCTAGAAACAGCACGAGACAAAGACGTTACTGCAGCTACGAGCCGGGAGTGCAGCGTGCTGTGGGACTCCCAGAGACAAAAACAATTGGGGGAGAAAAACAACACTGTATTTTAGCAAAGGAAGGTTTCTCACCCATCATCTGTACTTCTTAGCAAGTTTTCTTAGCAAGTGGGAAAACTTGCTAAGAAGTACAGATGATGGGTGAGAAACCTTCCTTTGCTTTGACTAATCCCTGTACGACTGAGGGCTTACACAAACTGTATTTTAGAGCTTTTCTGCCAGATGCAAGTTTGAAACCACTTCATCAAAAGCTGAAATGAGCCAATTTTGTATCTTTTTGATTGTCCCCATTATTCTGTTTTTCTGGTCTACATCCAAGTATTAGGAGTACCTGAGATATTGCACTGAGCGTGATCTTGGATGAACACACATATTTGGGAATGGAGCTTATACATGAGCTTTGGACTAAAAATGTGTGTTTTTGAATAAAAAGTTCAAAAGGAAATGCGCTGTTGTTTCCCCAGATCAAGTGAAATGATGATTAGACTCACAAAGCCATTAGTCTTTTGTCTGAAAGTCCTTTCTACTGGTCAGCAAATGTCACCACTTCTACACACCTTTATGAGAAAATAATGAGACCATATTAGGAACGTGCTGAGAGCAGAGAGAAAGACCAGAGAGAGAGGGACCAGAGAGAGAGACTAGAGAGCGAGAGAGAGAGCGAGAGAGAGAGAGAGGGACCAGAGAGAGAGTGCGACCAGAGAGAGAGAGACCAGAGACCAGAGAAAGACCAGAGAGAGAGACTAGAGAGAGAGAGAGAGAGCGAGAGAGAGAGAGAGGGACCAGAGAGAGAGTGCAACCAGAGAGAGAGAGACCAGAGAGAGACCAGAGAAAGACCAGAGAGAGAGACTAGAGAGCGAGAGAGAGAGGGACCAGAGAGAGAGAGACCAGAGAGAGACCAGAGAAAGACCAGAGAGAGAGACTAGAGAGCGAGAGAGAGAGGGACCAGAGAGAGAGCGCGACCAGAGAGAGAGAGACCAGAGAGAGACCAGAGAGAGACCAGAGAGAGAAAGAGAGAGAGAGAGTGACCAGAGAGAGACCACAGAGAGACCAGAGATGACTTTGAGAGAGACCAGAGACAGAGACCAGAGACAGAGACCAGAGAGACCATAATTGATATGAACTGACAAAGAAGATATTTGGATTTGTTTCATGTGGATTGTTCCAGGATTCACAGAGAAATGTTCTGCAGGATCTACATTTATCTTGGTCCAGAACCAGCTGTGAGCATTCCTTGGCTGAGTGGAACTAGATATTAATCAAACACAAATAAGACATTGAACTTTCAGAGAGCAGTGACTTTGTGACTTCTTATGTAACTTATATAAGATAATATATAAGCTCAGGTCTCTCTCTGGTCTTTCTGCGGTCACTCGAGTCTCTGTTCTCTCTCATGGTCTCTCCCTGGCCTCTTTCTGGTCTCTCTGGTCTTTCTCTGTTCTCTCTTTCTATTCTCTCTCTGGTCTCTCTCTAGTCTCTCTCTGGTCCCTCTCTGGTCTCTCTCTCTGGTCTCCCTCAGGTCTCTCTCTGGTCTCCCTCTGGTCTCTCTCTGGTCCCTCTCTGGTCTCTCTCTGGTCTCTCTCTGGCCTCTCTCCCTCTGGTCTCTCTCTGGTCTCCCTCTGTTCTCCCTCTAGTCTCCCTCAGGTCTCTCTCTGGTCTCCCTCAGGTCTCTCCCTGGTCTCTCTCTGGCCTCTCTCCCTCTGGTCTCTCTCTGGTCTCTCTCTGGTCTCCCTCAGGTCTCCCTCAGGTCCCCTCAGGTCTCTCTCTGGTCTCTCTCTGGTCTCCCTCTGGTCTCTCTCTGGTCTCCCTCAGGTCTCTCTCTGGTCTCTCCCTCAGGTCTCTCTCTCTGGTCTCCCTCAGGTCTCTCTCTGGTCTCCCTCAGGTCTCTCTCTGGTCTCCCTCAGGTCCTCTCTCTGGTCTCTCTCTGGCCTCTCTCCCTCTGGTCTCTCTCTGGTCTCCCTCTGTTCTCCCTCTAGTCTCCCTCAGGTCTCTCTCTGGTCTCCCTCAGGTCTCTCCCTGGTCTCTCTCTGGCCTCTCTCCCTCTGGTCTCTCTCTGGTCTCTCTCTGGTCTCCCTCAGGTCTCCCTCAGGTCTCCCTCAGGTCTCTCTCTGGTCTCTCTCTGGTCTCCCTCTGGTCTCTCTCTGGTCTCCCTCAGGTCTCTCTCTGGTCTCTCCCTCAGGTCTCTCTCTGGTCTCCCTCAGGTCTCTCTCTGGTCTCTCTCTGGCCTCTCTCCCTCTGGTCTCTCTCTGGTCTCTCTCTGGCCTCTCTCCCTCTGGTCTCTCTCTGGTCTCTCTCTGGTCTCCCTCAGGTCTCCCTCAGGTCTCCCTCAGGTCTCTCTCTGGTCTCTCTCTGGTCTCCCTCTGTTCTCCCTCTAGTCTCCCTCAGGTCTCTCTCTGGTCTCCCTCAGGTCTCTCCCTGGTCTCTCTCTGGTCTCTCTCTGGTCTCCCTCAGGTCTCCCTCAGGTCTCCCTCAGGTCTCTCTCTGGTCTCTGTCCAGTAGAAAAGACAGTCAGACATAATAATGACAGCTTTGAGATTAGAACCGTCACTGAGGAGGAGATCCACAGTCCACTTCTGGTCCCACACACTGCACCATGTGTTAAACAGCACTTTGTTATGAGGCGCCTGGAGCAGCTCAAGCACTTTAAGCTTTCCTGACGTCGCACATGAAAGAGACGGGATGCTGTCGGTAACATCAGCCTTTGCTCTCGGGGTGTGCGAGAAAATATGAAACTAACTTTTAATACGGTGTGATTTTTGCACTTTTGAGTTTCTTCTGAAGGTGATTATAACGAGTCACATAAAAGTCCTCATGGCACTTTTTATATTCTGTACAATTCACAAGTTTGTATCATTCAACATTTTGACACCAATATGTTCACTTTTACTGCAAAGAAATCTTCAGTTCAATTGTGGATCGGCCTGAAGCGCACTTTGGACACGTGTTTTATAACATGTGCTATATAATTAAAGTGGATTGGATCAGATATAAATCACAGCAGTCGTCTCATGGACTTTACAAAGTTGTGGATTCACCAACGACAGATCAGAAAATGCAATCATTTAGACAAACCTGTGCAATACAAATAAACCTGCCTTGCCTAGATAAATGTGGATTATTTTTTTATAGCCAAATATATTTTGTATTTCTGTTTCTGAGATGAATGGAGTCTTTTCTGGAGTAATTTCTGTCTAAGAGTTTCCCAAATCTACAGCCTGTACGTCTGTGGGAGGTCCAGGCTGTTTGGGCCTTTTTGTGTTTTTAGTGCTTCCTTGTGGATGCAGAAGGGTCATGAGAAATTTGCCTACAATATTTGGCGTTGGCGAGTGCATTGGCGAGTGCGTTGGCGAGTGCGTTGGCGAGTGCGTTGGCGAGTGCGTTGGCGAGTGCGTTGGCGAGTGCGTTGGCGAGTGCGTTGGCGAGTGCTGACTTGTTTTGAACTGTGTAGTAACCATTTTTCATATCAGTAGGTGGCAGCAGAGAGCGAAGTACTTTGAAACGGAATAATTGGACGGAGATCGGATGTAACAGGGAGCGGGGCGGCGGCAGTGTGACGAGTGAGAAGTGAAAGTGATGGAGACGTTTTTGAACAGGGTTCACATCCTCCGCTCTGCCCCGGGGCAGCTGTGGCTGCGTTGTACTGACAGCCGCTTTGACAACAGCTCAGTGAACGCACATCTGTAACATGTTGCTGAGCGTGGACCATAGACGCGTGGACAGAACCAAGGGCTCTTGTGTCTTTCCCGTGTCTCTCCCATGTTACAGAGTTTGTACTTTAACATTTCCTCCTGGTGGAGTGCCGCGAGATTATTTCAATGAGAAAAGTGTGCCTCGGCTCAAAAGGACAGTGATGATCCGGGACGTTTAAGAACATTCATGAAACACACAGTGGTCTTCTCTTTGGACCAATGGATCTTATGGAATTGTTGTTACTGCATTTCCTGTGTTCTGTTTGATTTTCTGACCCGTCGTTGGTGACTCCACAACTTTTTATACATTTTATAAAACACGTTTCCAAAGTGCGATTTAGGACGATACACAAATACATTGCACTTGTTCAGCAGAATGTTTTAAATGTGTTTTTGGGGCTGAATGAACCGAGATGAGGATATTGCAGCTGTTTATCCTTGGCCTTCAAACTCGTAACGATTGGGATTATACAAAAACCTTTGGGGCAAAATGAACGTGGAACAAACGGTGAAATAAGCTCGAAGGCTGAAGCAATCGTGATGAATTCTATCTCTGTGATAGTTTCTGTGAAGTGAGAGCGTGGCTTCAGTTCGTTCAGCGACCGAGTTTGAGGACAGAGCCTTCGGACAGATGGGGCGGATACTCACCGGCGTCTTCAGACTTGGGGGTCTCGTCTCCGAACACGGGCAGCTCCAGAGACTCGGGGGTGGTACTTCCTGGGGGTCCGCTGTCCTGCTCACTGCTGCCCCCTGTCAGCCGCACCAACCAGTGGTCCGAGGCCGAGGAGCTGGTGGAGCCTTCGAGACATCACACATTTGATTTGATTTTAGAATTATTAATATAGTTATTGCTCACTTGTGCTTCTCATTCCTTCATCTTAATCTTAAAAACAATGCATTATTTAAGGTCACTTAAAGGAAACTTATTATGCTTTTTCCATGTTATATAGTTATTATTCAGCTCCTCACAACAACAGAACGCTCCATAGACTTGAGAGTAATTTGAAAAAGTTTTACCGGTCAGTATTTCTTAACTCATTGACTGCCGGCCATTTTTTGATGATTTCACTGATTCTCAAGACCCACAGAATATTATTTCCTAAGACTTTGTGAAATGTGAAAAGACTGGATTGCCTACTTTAATAGGTAAAAATAAGTTTGTTTCTAGCTATTTTTATTGTCCTTTAATCCCCAGTCCAATAGAGGGTCTCAGACAAATGCAGATACCTCTCGAAACAACAATGACCGCTGCCCTTTGGCAACGCACTCTGCTTGTAATTCACATGTGTAGATTACTCCGCACTGTCTTTTTTCCCATTGACTTTGACTGAAAAGTAAAATAACTCTTTGTGTCCTGCCACAAAACCTGGTGTTTCTTTCTGTGATTTTGTCTTTTCTCTTTTGACTCCGGTGTTAGTTTTTTCCAAGATGGTCGCTTCTCAATGTCTGTCCCAGTTTTCACAGAGGAACCTTTTTAGCCGAGAGCCAAAGAAGTATTTAGATATAATTTCACTGTGAATGTGTGGGATTTGTTAGAACGAGATGGACACATTTAGAGCGTGGTGTTTGTTCTCAGAATGTATTTTTAAGTTTAGTAATAAATCCTGTTTGATGTGTGCATAAAACTCTTATTCTCCTTTTGTTCTGCTGCAAAGAAACACTGAAGGAGGAATAAAGCTCCATCTCATTTTGTTTAATAAAGTCTGAATATTAAACAAATACATTAAACATTATTACTAAGATCTGTCTGAGCCACTTCAGCCATAGGTTCCAGACCCATGTTCTACACCATTCATCTCAATGAGACAATATCCAACGTTGTCACGGCAACGCAAAAGATGAATAGATGAAAGTGGCATCAAATAAAATGGACTTATGGTTTTCATTCTGGGTCAAAGATGAGACGGAAAAGGAGAAGAGCTGAACTTCTTCTTTGTTGCTTGTTGTTCTCTGAAACCTGTGGAAGATTTTATGTTGAAAAGAATTTACATTTTGTGAAGTGACTTTCAGTCTTTGATCCTTGGTCCTCGGTCCTACTCCTGGTTCCACAGGTTTCCACTGAGATCTGTGCGAATTGTGTACTTTTCAGATATGGCCGACTTCCTGTTGGGTTAGTCTGGTCTTACCATGTGTAAACTCTGGTCCATGATCATTTCCTACATGTAGGAAACTAAATGCTAAATGCTAACAACAGACTCGGGCTCATTACATACGTCACAGTAAACTCAGATCCAATGGTTTCAATCTGCAAAAGGAGTTAGCCCCTCCCACCTGTTAACGGAGTCAATGAAGCACCTCCAGACCTCAGTACCAAGTACTATCGTGTGGTAAGACCAGGATGTTGGGTTGGGGGCGGGTCATGCTTCTGTCATGTCCAAACATCTTTCAATATGTTTCGTAAAAACCGTCCCTCTTTCTGTCGTGAGACTAACTAAAGATTTACAGGAGGAGCATCTGTAGTTTATGGCTTTGAATGATTGTTATCAGTTCATTCTCAGACTAATACCTCGGAATATCTCATAAAAACATATATTTGTTTGCAGAACGATATAAAAAATATTTGGATCAATTGTTAAAAGTAAATATTACAATGGTTTGATTAAAGGTTAATTTAATAATAGAGAAGTTGAGAAATCGGTTTTTTGATTGTAAAGAAATGTTAGATAAATCCACGTCATTTTGTAGTAATTAAAACTTTGTGGGAGTCACGAATGTGGCGCCAACCTGCAGGTGAAAGCTAAACAGGACAGGGCCTGGTTAGTACTGTGATGGGAGACCTCTGTGAAATCAGGTGCCACAGTGGGGCGGCTGTAAAGGTGTGTCCTCAGGCAAGATTAGAATGAGTCTGGTGTGTGTGTGAATGGTTGCCTCGCTTCTGTCAGTGTGCCCCAGGGCAGCTGTGGCTACAGTAGTTTATCACCTCTGTGTTTGGAGAGAATGAATAATGCTGCGAAGCGTCTATTTAGCTCCTGATAGGATTATTAAATATTTTAATGAAGTAAACAAATACTGTAAAAACAAAAGCTGTTAAACCATAAGCACTCATAGATCTTTGTATAAATGGATGTACTTTAAAACAAACCTGACTTCTACGAAACAAACCTCTGCCCTGATGCGAGCCGCTCTGCTCCAGCCTCCCACAGATGTGTTTTTGATAAATATCTTTTTCTTAGCCTCGCTCTGCCCTAACGCAGCACATCTTCAATCTCACTGTCCTGCGTCGCTCATAGTTCTGCAGTCGTTGGAAACAGCACTTTTTATTTGTCTTTCTAACCTCACACTGTTTTACAAAAATTCCTTATTTGTCCAAAAGCCGCTCTCGCCAAGACACAACCTCCACAATCTCACACAGTGTTGTCCTTGACAGAATAAACTTCAAATACTGAGAGGTTTTCAGGCTGAGAGCTGAATAAACATCTTTTCACTCCATCACAAAAGGACTCAATCCTTAGGACCAAAGTCATTATAAATGTTTTTAAACCATAAAAGCACAGGTGAGAATCTGACATAATCACTGTGGTTTAGGGAATATATTGAATAGAACTGAAAACAGTTGTAGATGGAGTATTCTTGTCTCGCTGTTTCACAGATCTGTGTGTGAAACTTTCTACTTCTTTAAAGTTTTTTACAGCTCAGTAACTTCCTCTGCTCCTCGGTGTCGTTTGGAGCAGACTCCGACTTCCAGCGTCTCTGTCCCGCTTCACTGAGCTGCAACCCTCAGCGAGGGCAGAGGAGGGAGAACTACAGGTCCTGGTTTAAGCTCAAAACAACAATTAGTGCTTCAAACATTTTTCAAAGGTTCTACAAAAATATAGAAGCCAGATTCCTCCTGGTGTGAGCTCATTTCTGAACGAAACCATTGCAGTAAATGTGAACCAGTGTAATCTGGATCCTCTGTCTTTATGTTTTGAAAAGTAACTGTTCCAGTATTAGCAACATGACTTCTTACAATGTTTTACACTTTGCTTGATTTTATAACGAGAATCTTATTGTTGCTTAAAATAAAACAGGACATTTTATTGGACTAAACCGTCACAAAAGACAACATATAATATTCCATTCACAGGACACGGGTGGGGAGAGAGGCTCTGGCCCTCAGGAGCCGTCAGCTACATCAGGGTCCACAGACAGAGAGACACCCCCACATAGATCAGTGGTGATGTCACACTCAGAGGTCTGACTGGGTCTGGCCTAGTCTGGCCTTAGCCGTTCGTAAACTCCAGTCAATGATCACTTCCTACATGTACCGTCTGGGTCTGATCCTGCCGTCTCCTCGGTGTCGTAGGTCGGTGTCGGTGACGGCAAGAGTTTGCACAGAATTTGCTGGTTGTAGTTTGTCAATGGCTTCTGGTTCAATCCAAACATCAAGAAATTGAAGCCGGAGCAAGAGGAATGTTTAGCAAAGGTTACTGCAGCAAAGATGTTGTGGTTCTACCAGTGGGGACGGGTCCCGGTTCAAAAAGGTCCATAAGCACGTGCGCTGACATACCACTCCAGGCACAGAAAGAGAATTATCCAATAGCATCTTCTTACTTCTTTACAGGATGGTCCAAAAGTCTGCTCTTGGCCCACATGTGTGTCAATGCTGAGGAGAGTATGTTTTTTTGGACCAGTCTAGTTTAGCTGCTGTGGACTTTTGAAGGCACTCTTTAAATGAATGGGGCTGGTGCAGCTGACGCATCCGCAAATGGAGTTTTTTTCACATTTCCAGCCCCCGCGGCCATTTTGAAACTGCACACAGAAGGTGAAAGTAATGACACATTAGTTTCAAGGGTGGAGATAGGCGTGACTATGTCCGGTAATATTTACAGTCTATGAGCTCTACTCCCCACAGGCTCCGTTAGCAGCAAAGGAGATGGCTAGGCTAAATGCTAAAGGCTAATGAACCACTCGGGTGCATTACATACGTCCTGGAAAACTTATTTGTCATCTGCAAAAGGAGTTAACAGATTGAAGCGATGGTCTCACCTGTTAACGGTGCTCAGTGCGAAAGGAAATGTGTACTATGGTATGGTAAGACCAGGCTACCTCAGACCTAACCTCACTCCTATTAAAGTGCAGAACCTTAAGGACCGAGTCTTCTGAACCCTGAGGACCGAGTCTTCTGAACCCTGAGGACCGAGTCTTCTGAACCCTGAGGACCGAGTCTTCTGAACCCTGAGGACCGAGTCTTCTGAACCCTGAGGACCGAGTCTTCTGAACCCTGAGGACCGAGCTTTCGCTGCAGTTGCCTCTCTCTTTGGAACTCTCACAACACATCAAGAACTCTGATACGTAACTGTTTATTTCAGCTTTGAATGAGATTCTTATAAACCTGTCCCTTTATAAAGTGTCTTTGGGTGTCCAAAAAGTGCTCTACTATAATAATACTATTATTTTTTATCATTATTATTATTACATTACACCGTGGCGGCACGGTGGCTGAGTGGATAGCACTCTCGCCTCTCAGCAAGAAGGTCCTGGGTTCGAATCCCGGTCGGACCAGGGCCTTTCTGAGTGGAGTTTGCATGTTCTCCCCGTGTCTGCGTAGGTTTCCTCCGGGTACTCCGGTTTCCCCTACCACTAAAAATATGTACAATAGGTCTGACATGTGCCTCCTGTACTGGCGACCCCCACCCAACAATTGTAAACCGCTTTGAGACTCCGATGTGCAGTGAAAAGGCGGTATATAAATAAAAGCTTACTTACTAAAAGCTTACTAGCTTACTTACTAATTATAGAAAAAAGTGTCGTTTATGTCCACTTTAACGTGATTCTTACAATTAATTCTGATTTTGAATAAGAAAATGGCAAATTGT